AGCTTTCTGTGTCTTCGGGGAAGGCTCGGGAAACTTCTCGGAAGGCCGGGGGACTTCCGAGCCTTCTGAGAAGGCCCGCCCCTTCTCACTCCCCCCCCTCCCCTAGGGCTTGTCGACTTTTCGCCAATCGACTTGTGAGAATCGAGCCAGATAAACCCAGGTAAATGCAGATAAATCGAGGTAAATCCAGGTACATCGAGATACATCTGGGTAAATCCAGGTAAATCCAGAGATCTCCAGGGAAAGTTCGAGCACTTCGCGGCCGCTCCAGCGCGAGTCGAAGGACGGCAGAAGTCGTTAAGCCTTGATCGACCCCCTCGCTCGCCGCCATCCTTCGCTGCGGCTCGGGGCAGCGTCGGCGGGCCTGGGCGGGGAACGTCTTCGGACTCGAGCGCGAGAGGCTTTCGGGGCGGCCCTCGCTGAACCGCCTGCATCGTATTGAAGGGCCTCGGTGGACAAACACACGTTGGTGCTAACACACATCCTGAGGACCATCGACAGGAGCGTGTGGACTTGCTATTGGGGGCCTGTCGCCGCCCTATCGGCGATATATCGCCGATGCACGGTCGACGCCTCCCCCCCCCCGAGGCCGTTCTCCCTTATCGTGGACCCTCATAGACCCGCGGGCCGCTCCCTCCTTGGCGTATGCCGGCTCGGGTCGGGGAAGGAGAGGCGCCGCCCTTCCAGAGACCTCGAGCCCGAATCTTCGAGCTGCTGGGGGAGTTTTCTGCTTCTGAGCCTCTTGGACCTGCCGACCTGCTCAGCGGAGCGTTTCCTGGCCCCCGGCTCGTGGCGCACCTCCAAGGTTGGCGCTTGGTGCAACATAGGCGACACGACCCTCCCGAACACTTACAGGGCCGTCATGATCATCCCAGTTTTGAGTAAGTTGTGCAGCATCGTGCTTTTGAAGCGAATGGATAGCATCTTGGATTATTCATTTCGCCGGAATAATCACGATCATCCTGGTTTTGAGTAAGTTGTGCAGCATCGTGCTTTTGAAGCGAATGGATAGCATCTTGGATTATCCATTTCGCCGGAACAAGTTTGAAGCCGCAAGGGATACGGACGCTGCGATTTAGTCCATCGCACGCGTATGATCAGCGAAAAGAGCACTGAATGGGTTTGGGTGGCCTCAACAGATTTCGAACAATCGTTCGACAAACTCATACATGCGGCGGCTCTTGCGGGTCTGTAGAAAACAAGGATTCGCGAGAACGAGTCGTGGGTCATTCAGGACCAGTTCAAGGACCAGCGGGCGTATACTCAGTTTGACCACAGTACGCGACGCACGTACTTCGATATTATTCGTGGCGTTTGGCAAGGAGATCCGACATCACCAGCATTATTCGCGAACGCAATCAGGAACACGATGATGCAATTGAGGACGACATGGGAAAAGAAGATGTACGGGAGCAGCATCGGCAACGTTTTTTCGGGAGAAGAACCGGACTTATGCCATGTTCGCCGATGACACCACGCTTGTGGCCAGATCAGAGCATGCTTTAGCAAACATGCAGCGTCTATATGCGACAAACTCGCAAACCTCGGTTTGCACATGAAGCGGACAAAAGCAGCGTACAGCGCTCTGGGAAAATTGCCCCCGGAATTAATAAAGGTAATAAGAAATGGACAAGAAAACCCATTGGTCAATTGCAACGTCGGTTCCAAAGTTTTGGGCACACTGGTTACAATGGATAAGGATTTTCCAACGAAGTTCCGTTATAGAGTGCGATCAGGCTGGGCCAAGTTTGCAAGCTTGTCAGAAACACTCATCAAGAAACCGAGCTCTGAAACAAAAAGGTTGCAGCTATTCGATCTGACGATATCAAAGGCAGTGCCATGGTGTGCAGAGACGTGGAACCTTACGGCTTAAGCAAGGGAGAAAATTCAGAAACGTGCAGCGATGCATGCTGCGACGGTTTGCAGTGTCAGGGTGACACCCAAAAGAGGACTACGCGTCGTGGATCCGGAGAGCGACAGGTGTAGCTGAGGATAAAACACGCAAAGCTGGAGTTCCATGTGGGTAAAAACGTATTTAATTAGAATGAAAGTGGATTGGGATTATCACCGGTATGCCAGATACACGATGAGCCAAAAGAGTGATTCAATGGAGGGACCATGCCTGGTGGGACGAACAATCAAATTGCACAGTCGGCTGCCCAATTCGCTCCTGGCCAAGCCGGTTCAACAAATGGGAGGACGAGTTGGTGTCGCATGCAGAAAGTGCTGGCTGGAACTCGTGGACACGAGGCATTGAGTGATATTGTTTGGCAGGAGGGTGAGCGGGAATTTCTTGCAGCCCGCCTGGAGGTGGGAGCGCGATTTCTGGTTCAATCGTTTCGTGTTTCACTTGATTTCGGCGGTGCATCAATGTATCACGAAACATATGTACAGGCGCCGCTAGTTTGAGAGCTATCGTACCACGGAGCGGACTCGCCTCCGAAGTTTGTCAGAAGTTTGATGGGCAGTTTTGCTTCTGGACGGTGGTCGTTACGGACTC